TGTCAATTTTGTCATAACATGTCAATCTAAGGAATGTAACATGCTATGATGCACGGACACAGCGACGCGGACACGACACGACACGGACACGACTTTTTTTGAAAATATAGGACACGGGTACGGCGCGGACATGGCAATATATTTTTTTATATAGTGTATATATATTAATGTAATATCATATTAAAAATGACAAACAATAATAAATGAATGACATGATAACTTGTCTAGCTTATAATATAAAATATTTAGTAAAAATATAAGTAAATAATCACTTACTACAACATCAAGCATTCAAGCTTCAACTACTAGGATTAGCTTTAGAGGTTTGTTTTTGGCCTTCAATATCATCATCATTGAATATCACTACTTTCAACTCTGATTCAACAAGAGAAAGATTTGTAATTGTGCAAAAAGAGAGGAGATGAAAATACCTTCATTGCCAAAGAGAAATGAAAATGAGAATATTCGATGAATGGGTATTAAATGCAGACGTTTATATGATGTTGTGGATATGAAATAAGAAATTTAGTTTAAATCTCGTCAAATATAAGAAATTATATTTTAAAATAATTATAAAATATTTAAGATACATGTGTCCAATTTGTTTTTAATATTTTTTTAATCGGACACGTTTTCGGCGTGTCCGACACGTCTCGGAGGAGTGTCGGACGAGTGTCGTGTCGGACACGGTGTCGGACACTGCACGCGTCTTTGAGGAGAAGCGTCGGTGCATCATAGGTAACATGGCATGCAACGTTGTAAACAAAAATTTACACCTTAACATTTAGTTTCTATGTCAAATGAAATGTCCTAGCCTATTGTTCAATCATAGGTGATAGATAAGATGCATGAATGTGAAATCATACAACTTGGAAGGTGTTGGACACCAATCCAACACATCCATACGCATTGAAATCCTCTCCGGACTCTCACATGAGTGCCAACAAATGGAAATCACCAAATTTTCATAGTTTTGCGAAGTGGACAGCCAACAAAGGGATTTTGGGGGATCAAAAAATCAAAGTTTCTAGGGACCTAAGGCTTTGGATCGTGAATCACATTGCCATTGGCTAGGGAGCCTTAAGGTTTTGCCTAAGTTTTAGTGTTATATCTATCCCGGTTTGTCCTAGCGCTCCTATCCAAGCTCCAGCACGCTGTCCAAGCTTCAAAGTCGCTGTCCAAGTCGCTCTGGAACTCGCCGCTGCTGTCCAAGTCGCTCCGGAAGCCTTCTTTGCTGTCCAAGGTGCTCCCAAGCCTCCTAATTGCTGTTTGGGAGGTTTAGGAAGCTTCCCTTGCTGTTTGAAGCCTTCCAATAGCCTTCAAATCACTACGAACTCGTCGGAGTTGGAGGAGGGGGGAGAAGCCACTGACTTTACTAATTTTTGAGAAAGGAAGCAAATGGAGGGCTTAACTTTTTATTTTCTTCCTTGGAATGAGGAAAAGATCTCAAACCCTTAAACTCCCTTTCTCCCTTTGCCGCCTGGAGGAGTCGCACGAAGGGGGAGTTCGGCTGGACACGGTAGAGCCGCACGCAAAGGCCCAGGTTTCGCCTGGTGGAGTTGCGTGGAGGGGGAGATTCTCCTGGTGGAGTCGCACGAAGGGGAAGAATCGCCTCTCCTCACTCTCTCTGGCTCTCTTAATCAGGGCGGACCGAACGAAAACAACAAGGGAGTCGAATGCGGCTCCCCTCTCCCTCTCACGCTCTTTGTTCTGCTCGGGGTTTGGACGGACAACACAAGGGGTAGTTTCACCGCCTCTAACACCCAATCCAGCTTTCTCTATGTGAGAAACGAGGGAATTTGCACTTCGAGTACATTCCCTACATGATTGGACACAAATTTGGGTGAGATTTGAGAGAATATCTCATCCCTAGGTTTCAAATTTTGGTTTGACAACCAAATTCAGCCCAAATTGATTGATTTGGGTTGAAATTGAGTTCGAATCGAACCCGACTTGGATCGATTTGGGTCCGATCGACTTAATTGCATGAAATTAAACTCAAATTGGCGTTGAATTTCGTCGAATTGGGCTCGACCAATGATTAAAAAGGCGGAAGAGGCGTACGCACTAAGGCGCGACTCAAGGCGAGGCGAAGCATTTGCGCGTTGAGGCTTACGCCTCGTTGGATTCGGCGGAGCGTGCGCTTATTTCGCACGGGGCGTAGGCTTCGGTTCGTAATGCCTCGAAGCGAAACGAGGCACCGCTTCAATTTGTAAGTATATAGACCGAGCGGTGAGAGTCGTATAAGAGTCGAGTATTAGGGTAACATACCTGCTTCTGCTTTGGGTGAGAACTGAAAGGCGAACTCCGCCGACTTCGACGACCACAGTTCGGTCGAGTTCGAACATAGCTGGAGGCGATCGAAGGTAACGATTTATTTCTTATTCTTCTCTTACTTCCCGTAATCTTCCCGTCATTTGCTTCATGTCTCGCTTCTTCTTCTCCAGCTTCCTATAATCGAAGGTTCTTTTTTCACGGCTAAGTAATGATCTTTCTTCCCGTTATTTGCTTCATGTCTCGCTTCATCAGATTGTGCATGCTCGGTACCGCTCAGTACCAAGCCAGTGCCTTTCCCTCCAAACATAGTCATGTCGCTATCAGCTTCTCTTCCTCTGTCAGCCTGTTGACCATCCCACCTTGTAGATCTAACCATGGCCATCCTCGCCCTCGAAGATATGCATCTTCAGCTTTATCACCATCGGGTCACCCCAATTGCTCATGGATCCTCCATATCCTCCTATGCCACGAACAGGAGGTGCTCCCCAACTGTCACGATCTTCCCTCCAGCAATCAAAACCGTATACATCAACTTCCCCTATCCTCCTTTCAGATTCGATCCCTCGGTGGTGGAAATCTCTCATTCTTCCCACAAGATCAACACCCCTCTTTTCATAGCCCATACTCATCTAGAAAGTTGTTCTAGAGGTGGCATGCCATCCTCTCCCTCAAGGATCTCCACTTCCAGATTTTTCCTCCCCCTAAAAGGGTTCGAATTTCATCCTATACCATGGCCTCCGGTGGTCTCCCTTTCTTCCGATGTCGTTGGATTGGTCTTTACCTCTTGTAATTTCTTCAACATCTCTTCCATCAAAGTGAACTTCCCTTTCAACCTTTCATTGTTGGAGGAGATTTAATTTTGAAAATAAAAAAAATTCTCTCCAAATCTGATTTTAATTGCCCAATTTCACCTTCCAACACTTCAACTTTCTTCCAGTCATCTTTCTTCCCAAGGATCTCAAGAGAGCTTCTTCCGGATGCGAAGAAACCACTGGAATTTTAGAATTTCAGCCTCCGTTGGTCCCAAGATAATTCTCTGATACCAATTTGATAGGAAATACTTGAGTTCGCAAGTAACCCTGAGGGAAATACTTGAGTTTGCAAGCAAACCTATCACTAATTGGTGAAAACAGCGAGAATAATACAAAAACTGGGTGAAATCCGGTCCAAAATGATGGATTGCAATAAGAGAATAAAAGCCAAACAAAGATGAAGCAAGATACAAGTGATCCTCAATTCGAGAGGATGATCGTTCTCTCCCAAATCTCTAGACAAAATAAGCTAGAGCCAAAATACTCAAGAACTCCAAGAGAAACTCAAATCATGCATAAACTTAACCCTAAACAAACCCTCCTATTAATACAATTAATTTCCTAATTCAAACATCCCTTATTCAAATTTTCCCTCTCACCCTAGCCGCCCAAATCCCCCTCCCCCAATTGCTCCAAGTGGAGCCCACACATGTGGGCGGCAGCATTAAAGGAGGCGGACCCCTTTCCACCTCCTGTAGACGTGAGTTGGCCGCTGGGATCATATGGGCAAGAGATATGTGGAAAAATGATGACTCTTTAGCACTGAATAGCTCTATTTGGTTACTTCCATATAATTCAATTTAATGATTTCTTTGAGTCACTTAGTGATCTTTGCATGATCTAAGTTGGCTTACTTGAGGATGCAGCATGCATCTGATTCTGTGCTTTTTTTATAGGAGCCTTTGATGAACCTGACATCTTTATTTAATTATTGCCTTGTATAACTTAAGGTGATTTTTTTTCCTTTCATTTCTATTCTCACCTTAAAGTTTCATTGTTCAATGAAAAACAACTTTTGGATTTTAGGGGTGCTATAATTGCTTTTGCATTGCTCAATGAAAATCAACTTTCGGGTTCTTAGGGAAACTTTAATTTGTTTTTGTATTAAAATGCATTTGACAAATGTCACAGCACTTGAATACAGAAGAGATTGATCATTCAAACTTTTTGAATTGCACTTCACTTTGAAGTTGTAAAATTGTCCAGTCATAAACGTCGTCACTCTGTTGCTGAAAAATGCAAAAGAAAAACTTGATCATCTTTTTTACGTTCTGAATATATGAATCATATATATATATATAGCTGTCGGGTAGCAACTATGATCATTCAAACTTTTTGAATTGCACTTCACTTTGAAGTTGTAAAATTGTCTAGTCATAAACGTCGTCACTCTTTTGCTGAAAAATGCAAAAGAAAAACTTGATCATCTTTTTTACGTTCTGAATATATGAATCATATATATATATATATATATATAGCTGTCGGGTAGCAACTATGATCATTCCTACATTTGTAGCCTTTTGCGTCTGTATGGATAATCTAGAACAGAAACTCTCTTAAATCAAATTTTGCATAAAAGTTAATCGCTGCCTTGCTGGTGCATGTGGCTATAGACTATTTGAAACATATGCAATTTTTTTTTTCTTTTTCATACAACATACAACATTTGTCACAATCGCATAGTTTGAAACGTCAGAACATATATGGAATACAAAAGTCCCCTTTCCTAGATATGCACCATCATCTGTTCCAATACAGCATTTTACGAGGAAAGGAGCAATACACAATTAATACCAGCATTATTCTTTTCTGATTTATTTCAAAATTTTAGCGGCAAATAGAAAATCTGTTGTGATTTACATATTGTTTAAATGTATTGCATTCAGCCAACTAAAATGAATAGCGTTTCAGGGCTTAGGTCTCCTGACTCTTTCCTCTGTGCTGCCAATCCTTCATCCAACCAAATGTTCCATCACTGATGGCAAGGCGTGTAGTCCAAATCATTTCCAAATAGGCTTCTTCTACTTTGCTTTATACCTTGTTGCACTTGCTCAAGGTGGCCACAAACCTTGCGCACAGGCTTTTGGCGCTGATCAGTTTGATGAGAAAGACCCTGTCGAGAGCATCTCACGGAGCTCGTTTTTCAACTGGTGGTATTGTGGCTTGTGCCTTGGTGGAACAGTAACGATTATAATCTTGAGTTACGTGCAAGATAATATCAGCTGGGCCCTTGGATTTGGGATACCGTTTATTGCCATGGGACTTGCGCTCATCTTGTTCTTGCTTGGGACCAAGACATATCGCTTCTATCAAATGGAAGGTGAAAGTCCTTTTCGTAGAATCGGGAAGTCATTGGTTGCTTTAGTTAAAAGTAGGATGGTGTCTTCTCATGCATCATCTGTTGAAGGGGCAGACCCTCATCGTTACAAGTAAGAGAGGTTCTGTTTAAATGATTTATTCATACATCGTAATTTCATAACTTTTCTCGTTTTTATTTCATCCGAGAAAAGTTTAGATTGACCAAATTCAATCTAAGTTAGATCTCTTCTTAGAATCATAACCCATCTTCCCCTGCCTAATCTGGGATGTGAATCATGTAATGCTTATCTTTACAATTACCTTTTTTCTCTATTTTATTACAGCGCTTGTCTGATGCATCCTAATTTCATGTGATATCCTACAACATGACAATATATATATAAATAAAAAGTTTATATGAATCCATTTGTATAGATTTGCGAAGGATGAAGCAGCAAATGGAATGCAAATAGAAGAAGCTGAGGGAGTGCTTCAATTGGTGCCAATATGGGCGACATGCTTGATATATGCTGTAGTATTTGCTCAGTCATCCACCTTTTTCACCAAGCAAGGAAGCACCTTGGACCGTAGAATCGGTTCAAGCTTCCAAGTTCCACCTGCAGCCTTGCAGAGCTTCATCAGCATCACCATCGTCGCTTTCATTCCAATCTATGATCGAATCCTAGTTCCCATATCCAGAAAATTTTCCAGGATTCCCACGGGAATCACACAGCTCCAAAGGATTGGCATTGGAATGATCCTCTCAATAATATCCATGGCAATAGCAGCCATAGTTGAGGTCAGAAGATTGAAAACTGCAAAAGAATATGGATTGATCGATCAACCGAAGACAACAATTCCAATGAGTCTGTGGTGGTTGGTTCCTCAATACATTCTCTATGGCATCACAGAGGTATTTATCATGGTCGGCTTACAAGAGTTCTTCTACGACCAGGTTCCTGATGCATTGAGGAGCCTTGGACTCGCTCTCTATCTGACCATCTTTGGTATTGGAAATTTCATCAGCAGCTTCGCCATTGCTGTTATTGACGAGGCAACGAGTAAGAGTGGAGAGAGCTGGTTCTCTGATAATCTCAACCGTGCTCATCTTGATTATTTCTACTGGCTTCTTGCTGGTCTCAGCACTGTAGGACTGATCATTTACCTCTACTCTGCACGATCTTATTCATACAAGAAGAAACAAAATATTGCTGCCTAGAATAGCAAACTGGTTTGAACAAAAGCATGCACAATCCATGATCTCGATCAGGAATAAATACTCTGAAGGATTTATTGTAGAACAATTGGGGTACGTTTGGTTTGAAGGAATCGAGATAAAAGGTAAATGTATATTATATTTGATTCCAGTATAATTAGTACATCATTAAATTTAGTTGAGAAATTTAAATAAATATATTTTTTATGTCGATATTTTTTCTTATAAATAGTTTGGACCATTGTTATAATGATTTCAGGTTAGAAAAGAGAATTGAGAGTGCGAGGCTAATCAGATATATAATCCTTCAAGTTTTACTATTTTTTTTTCTTTTAATTATTCTTTTATGCTTAAGGAGTAGGAAGGCATTTTGTAATATTTGTATGACTCCTGACATTATATATGATTTTTTAAGTATTGATTATAGATGTATATTGTTATTTTGATCGATATATTCTTTTTTTGCTAGTATTTTATTATTGAAAGAAATGAGATAACTTTATTTATTATTTTTAAACATGAAAGATACAATTATTTTCAAATTAGATCTTGGGATATGATAAACTTGGTATCAGAATATTGTTGTTAAAAGAATTAAATTATTACCAAAGTTACGAATCATGTAAGGTTAGATAGATTAAGATTCATTATTTTGCATACATAATTGATTGTATGTGTGAATTATTCAAACAAGATCAAGCAAGTGAACAATTGAAATGGCAACTAGAATAAAGTATACCAAATGAATAATACAGTGTAGCTCCAGTACTGTTAGATAGTGTTATACATCTAGCTAGTATTATAGCACAGTTAATGAGAGATACACAGAGCAAGGCAGTAGAGAGCAAGGAAGAAGAGAGGGATACATATTTACAGATATTTCATAAATTAAAACCCCCACTATTTAAAAGAGTTATAGAACCTAAAGCTATAAAAGATTGGTTATTGAGAATAGAAAAGATTTTCAATAGTGTGTAGTGCTTAGAGAATAAGAAGCTACTTCTAGTTATTTTTCTATTTGAAGGTGAAGTAGAGAGAAGGTGAGTAGGACAACAATGGGAGAAGTTTTAGGAGAAAACTAATGTAGTGATTATTTGGAAAGATTTTAATGCAATGTTTAGAATGTTGCTTGTACGTCCCATATCTTGATGAATGATGCAGAAAGCTTTCATAAGATTGGAACAAAGACTTAAGACAGTGATGTAATATGAAGCCAAGTTTACTGCACTGGCTATGTACACTCCTCATTTGATCCACACTACTAAAGAAAATGTTAAAAATTTCTACAAGGATTGAATTTGGAGTTGAGACATCTGTTAGTACCCTACAGATACAAGAGATTTTTGAGTTAGTGGAAAGGGATAGACTCATAGAGATTGTTTTAGAAGTACGTTGCATTTAGGTATGATGTGAGCGGGAGCATGCATGATGTAAGAGAGAAGAGGATAAGAGATGAATTAAGCAAGAATAGAGAAAGTGTCAATGATAAGAGAAGCATATCAGGTGATTCGAGGAGAGGATCAATAGAGCCTACCAACAACTATAGTGATTGTATCCCTTGTGAAAAGTGACATTCAAGTTAGGGCTATCTTCTGATAGGATGATGTTTTCGATGTTGATAACAAGGACTCAAGGTGGCAGATTGTTCATAGAGAGGATTTGAAGGAAGAACTTATTTTGGAGTAGAACAATTTAGGTAGACTAAAAGATAGAGAATTACAAGATTGAAGGCATACAATAAATTATTGCCAAACATATTTGATGACAGAGCTTTCAGTGGCAGTTAGTGAGAGGCTGTTGTACTAGGACCAATAATACCTACCCTAGTCATGGTACGAGTGTACAATTTAATTACAATTCCTAAAGACCTGCTACCACCTAAGGGTTTGAGTGGTGAGAAATTATATTTTGAGTGATTGATTTACATATCATTTTATTACGTAATGAATGATGTGTGATTGAAAGAACTGCATGATTGTATGATATAAATCAATTGTTGGTTTGATTTGGATTCTCTAAAAGATTTTTATTTGATTTGATATGATTTAAAATTTTGTTGTACTAATTTATTTTGAAATGAATATATTTTGTATTTCTTTTTGTTACTTGAATTCTTAGTAGAAATACTGGGGATAATATTTTTCTAAGGATGGTAGATTGTAACAACCTAAAAATCTAAAAACTATTAAAAAAAATGTGATAAATCTAAAATTTTTGAACTTGATCGCTATGGCGCTAGGTATTGTGGTGCCTCGGTGCCAAGCTCTCTGGAATTTTATAATTAATTATGTGTGATGGTGCTTGGGGGCAGCGTGATGGCGCAGTGTTGTATTACCTGCAGCACTGTTGGGTTGGGCCTCATGAGCGTCATGGCACCAAGCACTAAATTAAGTTTTTTTATAATATTTAATCTTTTTTTCTTTTTTCATTTAATCTAAATATCACTGTTGTCACTCCATCTCCCCTCCACTTTAGCTTCTTGTTGAGAAAGAAAAAGTAGGAGGAGAGAGGAAAGAGAGAGAAATGGAGCTTTATACGTTTTTTTTTTTAATCATTGTAGGTGACTTCTAACCTACACCTATTTAAAATTTTTTAAATTCTATTGTTTGATTTCTTCCAAATTGATTTTAATTTTCTATTTTTGAATTTAATAAATTGATACCATATAAGTTTTTATATATTACACTATTGTTTATTTTGGTCCTTTTGATTGGATAGTTTTGTATTTTCACTAGTTAAAATTGTAATTATTATTTTTTGTATGATTTATATAGAAATAAAAATTTTAGCATTTTGATACAAGTATAGTGTTAATGCAAGCATTATGAGTAAATACATGCATTTAAATGAGTAATAACTAGTCATTATTATTTTTGTAATATTGTGTGTGAAAATAAGAAAGGTTGTTATTTAGTAAGGTTGGCTGGAAACTATTTATACCTATATAAGATGATGGGTCGACAGACTTTCCTTTAAATATCAGAGTTTGTGATGTTATGCTTTACTAATTTGCATGATTTACTAATGGGAGTTATAAGCGTTTAATACTATACTGATGGCTAGGCATGACAAATCCATTTACTAAAAGCCAACTATTATTGACTTGCTAATATAAATTTATTGTTATTAGAAAAACACCACATAAGCTAGAATTCCTTACTTATTTAATATGATTGCTTGGACATGCATATATGATACTGATTTATAGTACTGATTTACTAGTATTGAGTCACTATTATTGATTTATTATTCCTAAGCACATCATTAAGATACTAATTTAATACTAATATGACTTAACTAAGAATAATGTGTATACGTATATATGATTCCTTGATACTAATTTATGCATAATTATAAATTTCTAACAATTTTAATAAATACATCTTCTTTACTGATGGATATGATTTTCTTACTATTTGGATAACACTGCTACAATGTTTGGTTTAAGATGATCATTTATAGGTTAATTATTTTGATATTTGTATTGTATTATGTCATATTTTTTGCTACTATAGCATGTATTTGCTATTTTTGCATATTTATGATAATATCGACTATTACTATTATAAACTCATTGATTTCATGCATATTGTTCATTTCATGTGCTTTAAGTTTAGTAGTAGAGTTCTAGTGATTTGTTGGGCATTATAAGCTCAATATATTTAGTTTAATGATTTTAGGTCAGGAAAGAGAATTAGAAGTGTGTGGCTGATTGAATATAGGATTCTTTAAGTTTCACTATTATTTTATCTTTTAGTATTATTTTATACTTAAGAGTGGGCATGAAGTATGTAATATTTATATGATTCTTTGTATTATATATGATTTTTGGAGTAATGAACATAAATGTATATTAATATTTTGGTCGATATATTCATTTATGATGGTATTTTATTATTGAAAGAAATGAAATAGCTCTAATTATTATTATTAGAAGATAAAAGATACAATTACTTAGAAATTAGATCTTGGGGTGTGATAATAACAAATCAAAAATTTCTCGCACTATTAGAAACAATGACATTTTAAACATAATACATAATGTCAAAGTCCTTATAGGGTTTCACTGAGTATTATAGTAACTGTCACACAATAAAAAATTTGAGAGAAATTAAGCTACACATATAAAGTTTTATTTTTTAAAAATTCACTAGATTACCACACATTATTCATAATTACATTTCAAACTTTTATTATACTACAACATTATTTATAGGCATCAAAATATGTTATAAATCAATAAAATGTTGTATTTTTAAAAGTATCTAGTGAAAATTCATAAATAAATTTTCAAAATGTGAAGAAAATTGTCAACCATGATATATCAAAGGTTGTGCGGTGATATTCTATTCAGTAAATATATATACTTAAATTTGCATCAAAATTTTAATCAAAATATCAAAAAACTTTGAATGCAAAATTTAACCTACCTCAACTTGAACAATCTCCCAAATAGCCCTAACTGATGAACTCAACTTGAAGCCACCGTAAAATTTGCTTTCTCTCTGTAAAATCCTCCTCTCTCTCTAACTATTTGGATGCCTTAAGAGGAAAAATGATTTGACATTTTTTAAATTTGAGTGGAATTTATTTTTTAAAAAATATTTGATGCTAGCATCGTAGCACTTAGAGACTTAGAGCTGCAACACAGCCTTTAAATTCCCCGCCAACTTGAGAGTATGGCACTTTTATGGCCAAACCCAACACCATAATGCTCCAAAGGAAAATTTCCAAATTTTAGATTTCATTCACATAAACCCATAATAGAGTTCATGCATTCACATACAAGTAAACCTTCTCAGGTATGTACATAAAGAAACTGTAGAAAATTCTAACATATAAGATTTACTGGATCAAGTCATAACGGATTTAAACACTATTGCAATAGATATTACAACATTATAGCACTAATAAAAGATGGTGCTATGGTGCTAGGTTAACTTTTTTGGAAAATATTAAAATATATTTAATAAAACCAATTAAGTAACCTAAAACCATTTCATTTCATCCATTTGGTTGGGTGAAGGAAGAAGAGAAGGTGGAGAAATTAAGAAGAGGAGTTTAGGGGTCTTCGAGTTGATTTCATCCACCATACCAGTTACAAAAAACTATTTATCTCCTAGTAGTATGCCTACATCGTACCTCTGATTTCAATAATTTTGCTACTTAAGTGATTCCTATATCTTAATTTGGTCATAACTTATACAAGTTAT